GATCATTTATGAATTTCTCGAACAACATACCTTGGGAATAGGCATTCTGTACTCATCGTTGAGTATGATTCGTTTGACAGCATTTGGTGACATTCCAGGGTATGGTTCACTACCTTCTGTGTACACTTCCCACATTAGTATGCCTAAAAATGCGATCGCAGATGACGTTATAAGACCCTGCTGTAAGGGATACTCACCAAAAGACCAAACATCCGACTTCAGACTGTATTTGCGATCCTTCAACACCTCTGGCGCTTGCCATTTCACAGCGATTTGCATGCTTGGAATTTCGTGATTTTCGCCCAGGTGCTCACAGCGAGCAAAAAGCCGATATTTTCACAGCTGCTAACAACATTTTGTTGAAGGCAAGAAGGGGTGGTGGGGGCCAGGAAGGGAGTCATTGGGTGTACGCTTTTTCTCCTCCTGCTCAACAACGGGCGCACCGAGAAAGGCAGTGAGAGGGGGAACCAACATGACACCCAACCCTTGTTTCCGCGATTCGGGTACTCACGTGGTGTTTTGGAGGGCCTTAGAGCTGACGGCGACTAACCAAGGCATCGTTAAGTTTGCAATTTCGAGCCGCAATATCTCGATGAATGTAGTTCAGTTGAGCCAAGTAGGATAGGCCAGCTGCCGCTTCCACACAAAATCGTCGCTTTTCTCGCGGAGAAATACGTCCAGCGTTTCGGCGGAGGTGGGTAAACAACGATGCTGAAAGATGTCAGCAAATCTGTAGAGCGCATACTTCCAAGAGTCAAACCAATTCGTTGTAGTTCTAGAGATCCAGCTGCGCTGGCACAAATGATGTCGTGCGGCGCATTCGGACGCCCGACAATCTATTAGGTTGTCCGGAAAGTTCTTAGCGTTTTGTGCACCTAATCTTTGTACATTCACTGCTGATTAAAAACTCATTCTGCCTTGCTTCTCAGTAGCACATCCTGTAGAGAATTTCTTGCGCTATCTGATGGTATAATTGCCGTTTCACCATTGCTTGATAAACCCTCTTTTTTCAAGATTTTTTCAAGCATGTGAAAAGAGCACTTCGGACGATTTTTTCTTCGGCTATAAATTGGGGCAATCCGCAATCGAAACAGCTCAACAAATTAACCAGGTGTGGAGGCCCAATAGTGCTAGAGAAAGCACTGTGCCGCAATGGCTCAACAAATGTCGTTCTGGAAATTTCAGCCTTGAAGGTGAGCCTCATAGCGGTCGACCTAAAGCAATATCTGACGAGGATTTTAGGGGGATTTTGAAGGTTGACCCATCCCAAACAGTTCGAGAGATAGCAGAAGAGCTAGGCCTTGGCAAATCCACTGTTGCAGATGGTCTGGAACGCATTGGGAAGGTGAAAAAACTCGACAATTGGGTGCCCCACAATCGGAGTGACCGGCAGGAATTGGCACGTCTCGAGGTTTCCTTCTTCACTGCTTTTGCGCAAAAGAATTGACCCGTTTTTGAACGGATTTGTCACCTGTGATGAAAAATGGATCATGTATGATAACAGGAGACGTTCCGGACAGTGGTTGGATTTGGAGGAACCACCGAGGTAATTTTCAAAGCCGAACCCTCGCGAAAAAAAATTCTGGTCAGGTTTGGTGGTCATCGGCTGTTGTAATCCACTATAACTTTTCATCACCAGGCCAAACCATCACAGCAGAACCCTACTGTGAACAAACCGACCAAATGTACCGAAAATATTGTCAGCTGCAGCCAACACTTATCAAAAGAAAGGGTCCGATTCTTTTGCATGACAACGCCCACACGTTTCACAAATCACTATCCATAAATTGAACGAATTGGGAGTTGAAGTTCTACCTCACCCACCATATTCTCTAGACCTTTCACCAACCGACTGTCACCTTTTCAGACGACGGAGACCGGGTCCAGTGGTGATCGGCAGAGAGAGCCCTCAAACATTTTCAGAACTTTCCTGCTGAGAAATACTTCATCAAACAGGACCAGGCAAAAAAGACCTTCGCAGATTTCGTGGATTCTCGACCACCCAGTTTTTTCTTTGATGGGATTTCTCGACTGCTGCCACATTGGCAAAAGTGTGCTGATTCGAATGGTGCTTATTTGGATTAAATCCGATGAGTGTTAAGAAAGTTATGATCGTTTAAAGTTAAACACCCAAAACGCTAAGAACTTTCCCGGACAACCTCAATACTTGGAGAAGGCCTATATTCCATGCCAAACTAGCTTGTCACAAAACATATAGCTCGTTCGCCGCGTGCGCGTCACCAACGCCGGATCTCCTGGCCACACCTTACGCCGGCGTTCAACTTGCAGCCTACGTGGATCGAAAAAAAAAAAAAAACATACTGTTAAAGTACTCCAAAACGAGAATAATAGGGCTGTAAGTGCAATGCGATGCCGTAGGTTTCGCCGACATTTTCGTGGCAAAGTGATCGTAGGAGACGAGCTTCTCTCATCACATGACTTCGAGCTTCTCGACTGCACTAAAACTGAAGGCGATATCGTCGCAATAAGCGGGGGAGTCAGAAGAGGTGAGTAGCCCGCTTCCGTTGCGGTTTTCTATCACAGTGGCCGGTTGGCGATTTGGGAAGAAAACTAGCAGCGTTGGAAAAGTCCGGCTTGGGCTTCATTCCATGCCTGCTGACACCTTCTCAACTGAAGGCAACGACCATTACTGCCGCGCTGAACTAGGATAAAACTTTTACGGATATTCTATTGTCTTAGAATACTGGGCAGTAATGTTATTCTAAGTAGGTTGTCGCGATGAATTCCTCTACAGCTATGATGCTTGGCCGCGGCTCTGAATTCATTGAAAACAAATTCTAGTCGCTTCTACTAGATGGAACAGGCTTATAAACGCAGCAAGGAGAGTATAGTCGGTCAGGAGTAAAAATCAGGTTCCATAAATTCAGACGTTACGGAGAGTTCGCGGTAGCTGCTAATCGGTTGTCGCGCAGCGCGTAAGTGGAGAGTTTAGCGAAAGAACTTTCCGGCACGTCCTGCCCTTAGGCAGCGCTCAGACAAAGAATTCACTCGCAGGTAATCGGAACAAAAAGTGTTGGGGGGGGGGACGCAGCGACGCCTCTATGCCACGCTACGTGTTCTATTTTCTAGAGCACAAAATAAGTGTATCTGCTAACCTGATCCGACATGCTGTAGCAATTCCTCGTTAAATCACTTAGGTTCTGGTGCGAATGCCGCGCACGTGGCTTCTCTTGTAGCGCTGCTTCCGTCACGTCTCCCCAGTAGGAGTCCCTCTATCGACATTCCGACCACGAAGATCGTGGCTATTCTACCTGCTACCATTACACCCTGATCCGTTCTTTTCATTGCAGGACTGCCCTCAACCGCTCGCCAAGATCATGGCTTCGTGCTGGGATTCATTCCCTCCAAAACGACCATGTATGCAGGCGATACATCTCGTCATACGCGATTGTTAATGTACAAGTCCAAATTTAGCGTTCATTTTTACAATGTTTCATGAATGTCTTTGCAAATATTCGCTATCAAATGCCTCATCATGTGATTTTTCAAATGAATAAACTATTTTAGTGATAAGCTCAGCTCAAGCCGAGTACCCAGTTAAAGCTGAGCTTTCTACAACATTCACCTTGAGTGGAAAAAACCCCAGGACCAAATTGGTTGGGTAACACGGCAAAGCGATTATGTTCTCTTGTCTGCTCCCTTTTACCTAAACAGCGTCGAAAACAGTTTCGAAGTGTTTCCTGGTATATCTCGGTAATCATCACGAATAGGAAAGCGACGTTTAGGGCGTCAGGGCACGTTGCATGTTGGAATCCCCACGTGGGGGTCGTATTCAGTCGGTGGAGGGATGTAAGGTCCTGAGTTACGTCTGAGCAAGATGTGTTGCTGACTTTTCTCGTGGTAGGAAAATGGGATAGTTCAAGAAGATGGTAGGCATGACGGGGCACGGGGAAGGGGTGGGGGCGGTATCAGAGTAGGAGATTCGAGGAGGTCTATTTTGCAAGTTTTTTCCCCAACCTCAGGACGCGCTGTAATGGGAGTGGAGCGTTACTTCCCTGTAGCAGCAAAATAGCAGTTGCAAGCGCGGTGAGCGCACGCAGCATTCGCGCCAGGACCGAATCCCTTCGACGTTGCAGGGCCCTGCCCCCCCCCCGACTATGTCTTGTCTCTCGAGTCGACTAGTTCTCTCTGTGCCTGTATTTGTCTAGACTACCTAGGAAATACTCTACTAGTGCACATGATGTCGCGAAAGGGAAATAACGCTCCACAGCTAGAAATTCTAATCTAGAGCTTCGAAAAACGCTGAAAGACAGAGGATGATATATCAAGAGAAGATAGAGGAGATTTCGCAGTCCGTTAACTGCTGGTGCCGTAACCCAGACCGTTACGAGGCCCTCCCTCCTTGCATCTCTGATCCTAAAGCGCGCGCCGTAGCACGCACGCAGAGTACAGTAGCAGCGACTCCTTGAACAGCGAAATTTTTCTTAGGAGAGGAAATTTGATTGGTACAGCCGTCCTTCCCCGCCCCCACCCCCTTGTTTCCATTCACTTTTACTCCAAAACCTTGCTCAATTAGAAGAATTACTATAAAGTTAAAAAGAAACTATTACGATATGATTGTGTTGTCCTTCGTAGTTCGTACTTTCTGTAATGGAAACAGTTTTATTAGCGTTGTAGAATGTGGCGTAAAAAGTCGAATCATCAGAATATGTGGGGAAAGGCTGCATTCCACCCATCCACCCAATCTACTATTCTGGGCCACAAGACCAAAGTTCGCCCAAATTCACCTGCTGAATGGTGGCTAGGGCAACCAGTGCATAGTTGGCCATTTTTTCATGTTTCCGTAAAGGCTATTTACTATCTGGGTTCAGAATCTACCGCCGTCGCAGTACATTTGCTGGAAAGATTGGTGCCAGCAGAGCTTACAGGTTTGGTAAAGCACGTGAGAAGGTGGGGTTCCGCTATGCGAGGTCCCAAACAGCTCTCTTCGACTCCACGCAGAGCTCGATCCTTATTCATTTACATTTTATATATTATCAGCAATGGAGTTTATACGACACTATTCTTTTTATTTGTTATTTAATGTTGTTTATTCACTCAGGAAAATTGATTCCTTGGTATGAATTCTTATTGTTTATTATTTTTATGTACATATTTTCCTCCCGACTCCAGCCCAGGCCAGACAAACCTTCCACCTTCCGGGGATGGGACGGCACAAATAAGCACCATAGTCGTTTGGGGAAATAAGAACCCTGACTTGTACATCGGCTGGCTTCCGCAAGTCATTGTATAGGCCACATCGCATTCAATAAGCCACTACGATTCTGAATGGAAGTAGAATGCGTGCCGCATCCCACAAAAGGATTGATTAACGGCGAAGACTTTATCCTTTGTCCTTTATTTTTGTTTGTAGATATACCTTGTAATCGTATAAATACAAAAATGTACCCTCATACGCATGAACAAAAACAAATGCAAATCAATTATTGTTATTTATTCGCATCTAAAACCTTTTTGTAATCAGGGCACGTCCTGCTACCTTCAGGGAAAATTTTTGCAAAATACGACTGCCCCTACGACCATCTTCCCCATTCTACCTTCCCACCTGCTGCCTTCGTAAATTTTTAAACGCCCTTCTGCTTTCGGCGTTTTTTTTCCTGAAAAATACTTCTTCCTCCTGAAAGTTGCCGTCGAGCAGCGTGGGTGGGAGGGATGAGCTACAAAGCATCTATTCAGCTGTCATTATCTACAAAGAGCGCTAAGCTAGGGCTATTGCGAGTGGGAGGGCTATTGGGAGCAGTCCAAAAAAACGTGTTTGTTTTCCGTGCTATCGGATGAAACGTCGCCTAGTCATCAGAGAGCGCTTAAAGAATCTCGCATGTCCACCAGGAGGCCTATGTCCGCGCTGTCGTCGTCCCCGTTCCCGTTCGAGCGCGAACAAGTTCCGACCATTTCATCTCACCCAGTTCGCCCCTGATCGATCTGTTGACCTTGATAGGGAGGATTTGACGACGACTACGACATGGTTTCTATTGCACTCCTCATC